GTATAATAGAGGGGAGTATAGAGAAAGAAAAAAAAATCTGTATGTGTATTCTGTCTTAAGAAAAAAAAAAACATTTAAGAATTATAGGTAAGCCACAAATTAAAGGATTAAAAATACTTTTGAAGGGGAAAAAAAATAAGATAATGCAGCATTATAGTAGTATATAAGGTTGACACGAAATAGATGTGAATATAAGGTCTGACGACACGTTCCTCAAATATCTGATTTGTTTCTCCTTGTAATGTATAAGAAATATTCATAATATTAATATTATCTTGTAATTTCTAAACTGTTTTCAAAATGTCTTTAAAAATAAATACAAGAATTGTGATATTGACAATTCAAGTGATTTCAAAAAGGATTACATAGGAAACACCACCCTCTGGTATCTAGCACAAATGCTAAGGTACCTCAATTTTTCTTAAGAAACTTGTTAAAGTAGCAATACTTCAATGACATTTTTTTAAAGAAATTATATATTACTGAGGAACGTATCATCTGACTAAAAAAGAGCTATGTTTTCATTACAATGTAACTAGTAAGCAAAAAAGAGCATTAGAGTAAATAGAAAAGAAAACATATTTACACAAAACCAAACAAAAAACCATTTCTTTTACACGAGAAACAGCTGTATTTTAATAATTTGACCTGAAAGACAGGTCTTGCTTTGTCATGGATTCCAGAACTTCTGTATTATAATAAATAATTATAAACGGAAACACAAATTTGCGCGTCAAGCATTCACTGAAAAGAATTGAATTAAGGCTGGTCCTTACTTTACATTTTTCTTGCTTAATGTAATGCTTTCTTTCTTGTAATCACTACAGTAACATTTTTAGAAATTTAATTATTCCAGAACTTACATGTCATGACAAGTTACTTTTCTTTCATTCTCATCTTATTCCTTCATCACTAGTGTTCAACCAAAATCAAAAGTCGGCGGTTCTCAATATTGGGCAATTTAACTTTCAAATCTTTATATTTATCAAATATTAAAAGGATGCTGTAGTTCCTCATTGGTAGTATTAATGAAGTCTTCGGAGACCAGGTCTTCTAATACACTTTTAGACTACGATCAGCACTAATAATGCTTGAAATGCTTGAACTTGAAATAAAAGACTCCACTCAGTCTGCCACTTCTGTTCATATTTGTTGTACTGACTATCGACGATAGGAACCAACGAACAACTTAATTGTATGATAAACGAGATGATTTCAGCTTTTCCATCCGAAATATTTTATGCAGTAATATTATACTATCACCTGCATACTTGCTTTACGTCTTCCAACAGATTCGGCACCTAAGGAAATGATCTGAAAACGATGAATTTTTAAACCGGTGCAGACTACTGAAAAATAAGTTGTTGTAACGGGGAAAACAACTTTGAAGTCACAATTTTGTAAATTCTAATGTCGTTATGATTTTGTTTTGATATAATCTATCGGTGGGTCATATTTTATATTTTTGCTTGTAGTTTGTCATACTGGACTCTATTTAAATCACCAGTAATTACTTATCTAGTGGAAATATATTTGAAGAAGAGGAAGAGCAAAACCATTGTTGTGGATTTTCAATTCCAGGCAGTGTAAGGTAATTTTATAATTAAAAAGGTTCGAAGCAATAGTTTGGAAATATAGCAGGGTGTAGACGTTAACTTGAAATATGGTGGAAAACAATGCTGAACTTCTTTATTATTATGATTGTTGCTTATGTTTATCACCATCTACATCTTCGTTGGCAAATCTACGTTTAAGAAACCAACAGGTTGAAGTAGAATTTATTAACTTTTGGCACATATGTTGGCTTACAGAGCCAGTGCTGGGCAGAACAAAATTACAATTAGCATCAGGCTGAATTGTTATTGTTTAATTTATTACAAAAGCATACATATATACTTTTTTTTTTAACAAGAATTCGGTGTCCATGTACAGGTTAAACCAGAATTTCTACACAACGCATTTCTGTGATAGCAGTCTGAGTTGTTGTATGGAGCAAGACATCCTTGTCCTACCTCGCACACATTATGAGGGCATTCCCGTATCTACAAAGACGAACAGTTAATTCAAATTCACTTTGAAAATAATCCTCAGTGAAAGATTACTAATTTATCTTCTTTTTAAATTTCATTTCGTTTTGTTAGAAAAAGAATTTAATGAACCTACTAGAATGCGTTAGCGTTTAGCGTTATCAGAGAGCGTTATCAGAGATTTTGTAATCTGGAAGTTGTAGGAAGCTTAACAAAAATTGTGAACAAACATTGGTCAAACTCATAATCGTATAGACAACACAAAACGATGACAGGAAAAAAACGGACCCCTTGAAACATTGAACCGAGAAGTAAAGATACCCTGTCTACCAGTCAAATCCACCGTAAGCTCTCTGTCTTACTCAGGCAAAAGGGGAGGACATCAATAGTAATAATCTGAATAATTACAAAACATACCCCACAGTTACAATTATTTTGCTAGTCCATGTTATTCAAGGCAGATAGCTGAAATGGAGTCATATCCTGGACTTTGCGATTCAAGGAACAGCTACTGGCTCTGAGTGTCCCATCGCTATCTCTAGATCCTGGTCATTAGAATTAACAGGAATATATAAACAATTATGTTGATATATGTTTTAGGTGATTATCTTCATTGTCTCTAACATTAAAACAAATATATAACCACCCAAATACATAGTCATTTTGAAACGCATGCGCAAGCTTATTGTTGAGATAAAGTGTCTTCTACCAATCTGTTTTTACAGGAGATAGATAATTCCAATTAAATGTACTGTGTTATCTAAATCTACGAATACTAGACTGAAAGAGCAATGTTTTAAAAATACGTTTGATAATTGTTTTGAATGTATTTTAATAAAGAAAAAGTAGTAAGGGGCGGTTTATGTAACAATTGCAAGATTAGTTTTATCGATTTTCGATTAACTATATTGTCATCTTTACCGCCGAAATATGGCTGAAATATTGCCGACTCGGAGTAAAACAACAATAATCAATCAATATGACTTGCGGATATATCAAACAGGATGTGAGCGTGCGATTTTAATCTTCAACAAAAGTAGTTTAACATATCTCTTATTTTAGTAAACTTTGACCAAAGCTTTGAGATAAGTGCATAACATGACAAAAAATATATTTATTATTTTCGTCTCAATTTTGATTCCAATGCTAGTATTTCATTTTAGAATATTACAGAGGTACCAAAGTTCGAGCAAATGTTTTAAGAATAGATTAATTTCTGTACTTTTTGCTTTTAGACAAAAATCCATCACACAGATTGCCTAAAGTAGCTCTTTTCCAAGTAATAATTTTTGTGTTGGTATTGTTCACTCACTGCATTTGTCTCGAGAATAAACGGCTATATTTATTTTTAGCAAAGGTGCAATGCTCGAATTAAACATTTATAATAGCGAAGTACAATTCTAAATGCCCTAATAGAAATTTCCTAAATAAATGTTATACAGTCTCACATAATCCTTTTACATCTTGCATAAATGTTTTTGACCAACGCTGTTAAATAATAATTTGTATATATACTCACCCGCTATAACATAGGTCGTTTTCTTCTGGAACGTTACACCGCAGGCTGCTGACGAGGACGCAGTTTTTATCCACACCTCGGAATTAGGTATCGGAGGAGCATAACCACTCTTAGATTTAACGAGAAAGCATTTAGATTACCAATTACTTCCATTTGACATGTAGTCAAAAGTGATCTCGAAATGTTGATGATTCATAATACAATAACATGTTTTCTTTGGAAAAGTATACCTTGAAATTTTGTAGGACTTTCACTCTATACCTCTTGTACCATGAACTGACTGGACTTTCGTACAAAATCTGCGCCTTTATTGCTGACCAAAAATATACCGGAAGAAATAGGTATGTCATAAAAGAAATTCTTGAATTTTGATGTTTGGCATCCAATTCAGGTTTCTTTATCTTAGTTGTTTTTTTTTTCAATATGTGTTCTAAAATCTACTTCTCTTTATTTTTACAAAAAATTGATGTTGGAAACTAACAGAGAAAAAATCGTTACGAAATAAAGACATATAAAAGTAAGATTGATGGTTAAGAAAATAACATCTTTACCATAGTCTGATTGGCAGATAATGGTCTGTGGATGTCGAACAGCACATTTACAGGCTTCAGAAATTCCAAATACAGAAATCACAAGATATACACAAAACAGAGCGACGTTCATTCTTCCCATTAAATGTAAACAATCTCGCGACAATGTTTAAGGACACGTTTTAATCACACTAGCGTGCAACAGGTGTCGGTGGTGGATGTAGCACTGATTGAGAAACCTATTTAACTATTACGGTGTAATGCACTGCGTGTTATGCACGTGGCAAAACTTTATGACTGATGTTGTTTATTAATATATTTTTTTTAAAATAATGTATCAAGTTGACCACGAATCCCCCAAAGAATAACTACTGTTGTAAACAGGCAGATGTCACCAAAATATTTCTGACTCAGACTCATGTTATTTATCACTGTTAAATCTAATAGATAAAACATCAACCGACTTATTAGCTCTGTTTATCGTACGTTTAGTAGAGTGATACGTACTAAATCAGAGTTGTCTTTCTTCACTTTGATTTGGTTCTAGATAATTGCCATGTCACCTCTTAATAAAGGACACCGATCTATGACGTCGATGAATTAAACAAAATTTCCAAACACTTTTTTTTTAAAATTTTAAGTAAGCGTTTCGCAGAATTAATTAACAACACTCCTGATTGTTCCTGTTTAATCTTTAACAGTCAAATAGCAAAAAAGTAAAGGTTTCAATGTAGGATTATTCTTATTTATCCTATAGAAATACAGCTTAAGTAAGTTTTGGTCAGTTAGACTGTGTGTTATCCTCAAAGAAGCTCAAAAAAAAAAAGCCAGACAAATATACAGAAGGTATGAATAGTACCTGCTTTAGGATAGATAGATAGATAGATAGATAGATAGATAGGTAGATAGAATTTACCATTCGAATTTAGGTGATTTATTTAAGTTTATTTATTTCAGAATTATGCAGAAAGACTTTGTTTAACAAGCATTTGGAGTCCATGAACAGGTTGAACCAGATCTTCTGCACAATGCAGTTCTGTGGTAGCAGTCTGAATTGTTATAAGGAGAAAGACAGCCCTGCCCAGCCTCGCACACATTATGAGGACATTCCCGTATCTACAACGAAAAACATGTACTGTTTATAACCAGATAACCAGAAAAATATAGTTTTCAGACACATACATGTTGGATAAAGATTGTATTGTCCTGAATGTTAATGTAATCAAATGTTTTGTAAATATGATGATGTTTTAATCAACGGTTTGAAGAAAAAGTGATCCATTTCTTAATTTGTATAAAAAAATACAAATCGGAAACAGGGCAAAACACGGACACTTGGTTACTTCAGCACTGTGTAAGCGTAACCATCCACTGTCGACCGTTCAGATCTAGAGCGAGCCCTTGGAATTTATGAGACTAAGGAGATCATGGGGAGTATATAAATTGTAAATTTGTGAAATATTAGGTAACATACCTCGCAGTTGCAATTATTTTGATAACCCATCTTATTCAAGGCAAATAGTTGAAATGTAGTCATATCCTGGACTTTGCGATTCAAGGAGCAGCTATTGGCTCTGAGTGTCCCATCTCTATCTCTAGATCCTGACCATAAAAAAGGAATATATGAACAATTATGGCGATTTATGTTTGGGTGAACAACATCTTTGTGTCTGCACCTAAATACGATTCTCACAAACAAATGTATAACCAACTTACTCACATACAGGTAATTGCCGATACCTCGAAGTCCGCGGGACCGCGGAAAAAATTCTCGAGATCAAGCGTCCGGAATTTTCCGGGTTAGATGACAGGTTATTCTTATTCATTTCCAGCCGATATGAATCTTACATACGTGCTTTATCTATGATACTCCTTTGTATTTTCCAGAGAATACTTACCTGAATGTTTTTCTGTTTACTAAATAAAGCAATCAAACTTATAATGTCATAATATTTATTTATTCTATATGTAAGACGAACACGATATTACACATTCCTTACATTAAAACGTCATGTACTACTATTATAGTGTAGTAGTATAGAATATTTGTATCTGTTAGTATCATGTATCGAACATAAATCTGTAAGTAACGACTGCAATAGTCGTTATATTGACATTGATGCTGTTATGCATAGTTTCTGCATTTCTATTATTCATTAAACTTTGACACTGACTCAAAATTAGCCTCTCCTCTCTTAATCATTTTCCACTTTTCACCGTCCCTAACAAAAAAATTCTATAGTAAACTATAGTTAACTATAGTTTACTACAGTTAACTATAGTATATTAAAGTTCCAAAGTTTTCACTATAGTAAATCAAAGTTCCAAAGTTTTTACTTTGGTACTATAATTAACTATAGTAAACTATAGTTAGCTATAGTTTACTACAGTATTTTTTGTTAGGGGTGCCTCCAAATTATTTTAGGGCAATCTATGTGAAATATTTTACGAGCAAACAGGCAACAATATGATGAATTCTCAATCAATTATCACTGCGGCACGAATGTCACCTGAGTAGACATCCGCTCCTCGGGCCAAGCATCTAACCCTGGAGCCATTCAAATGTCCGGGTATAGGTGTTACTTAGGTAACACTTGCGTACGCATAACCACTTCGAGGTTTCAAGGTAACTTGCAATAGGTTATGTACAGTGGGACTGCATTTTGACTTCGAAGGATAACGGGTTTCGAAATTTTGAGAAATCCAAAGTAAATTTGCCTAGTTATGTAGGGGGAAATGGGGACCGAAGACTTCAAGCAATCAAAAACTTCGAGAGATCAAAGCTCGAGCCATCAAGAGTTACCTGTACAAAGTAAAGCTAAGACACATTCGCAAGTATACTGAGAAGATACTGCATCCCCTACCAATTTATTTTTTCAGGAGGGTGATAATCCACCAGAAAAACCTAGTATATTATCTAAAGCTACTGTTATTCGACCGAAGGAGTAATTTGATGATCTTTAAAACGTTTTAAAATACGTTTCCAAATAGGTTTGAATATACTAGTACATTTCAACCCGATTATAATCTATTCAAAACAAGCTAATCAAAAAGTGTCTTATTTCAAACAGCATTTTTGACCAAAGCTTAGTGGTAAGTACACAATGTGACAAAAAGATTATTCATTTATTTTGTCTCAATTCTGATACCAAAATTAATATCATGTTAAAATATTACAGACGCAAAAGTTGAACAGCAGTTTGAAGAATTATATATATATATATATATATATATATATATATATATATATATATATATATATATATATATATAACTATATATAACTATATATATATATATATATATATATATATATATATATATATATATATATATAGAAAGCACAGAGAAGGATACCCACTTCCGCCTCAGCCCGGGGTTGAACTCTCGACCTACGGAATCTGTCTCCTAGCAGTACAGGAACAGCGCGCTAGACCGCTCGGCTATCTTGGCAAGTCATGTTAGTTATGTTAGTTTAAGAGTTGTTGTAAAATGGGCTTTATATATAAAAAAAAATTAATTTCATTACAACGTGTTATGGTAACGATCCTCTGATAAAACTAATGTCTAAATAACTGTATCTCACTTCCATTCTCAATGACCGTGTAGTGTAGGACAGCGCCGCGAGAATTCCATCGGTATCGAAAGCAAGTTTTTTGACTTGCCTAGATAGCCGAGCGGTCTAGCGCGCTGTTCCTGTACTGCTAGGAGACAGATTCCGTAGGTCGAGAGTTCAACCCAGGGCTGGGGCGGAAGTGGGTATCCTTATAAAAGTGAATTTCTCTGTGCTTTCTATATATATATATATATATATATATATATATATATATATATATATATATATATATATATATATATATATATATATATATTGTTTATATGTAAAAATGCCTAGCAAAATTGCCCAGCAAAAATCTTTTATTGGCCCTTTTCCCAACCATAATTTGTGTTAGTATTTATCAGGTTCTGCATTTGTCACAAGAATAAACGGCTGGATAGATTTTATTAACAAAATGCCATTGGTTTCCGCAAAAATTCAAGGCTTAAATTCAACATTTGTGAAAACAGAGTAATTTATATACGTCCTTGTAGATATTTCCTAAAGATATAATAATGCAGTCTCACACAATCTTCTTAAAAATTACATAAGTTATTTTTACTTATGCTGAAAAATAATTTGTAAATATATTTACCTGCTATAACGTAAGTACTTTTCTTCTGGAATCTTACACCACAGGCCGCCGACGATGACGCAGTTTTTATCCATACTCGGGAATTCCGTCTCGATGGGGCATAACCACTCTTTAAATAAATGAGAAAGAACTTGTATTGCCAATTACTTCCATTGTAGTCAAAATTGATGTTGAAATTTTAACGTTTTTCTTCTAGCAATAGTATACCTTGAAATTTTGTAGGACTTTCACTCTATATCTCGTGTATAATGTATCGACTGGATCCTCGTACAAAATCTTAGCCTTTATTGCTGCACAAAAATAGACCGAAAGAAATATATGTCATTAAAAAATAAAAACCGTATTTAGATGAATGAAATTGAACTCAAATCTCTTAAATTTATTTCTCTATTGGTATATGTTCTAAATCTCATTAATTGCATACTAAAACATTTGTATGGAAAACTTGCGGAGAAACGCTATTCAGTTATATTCAGTTATATTGAAACGTAAAATTATATAATTTATACCAAAGTCTGATCGGCAGATAATGGTCTGTGGATGTCGAACAGCACATTTACAGGCTTCAGAAATTCCAAATACAGAAATCACAAAATATACACAAAACAGAGCGACTTTCATTCTTCCCATTTAATGTAATCAACACTCGCGACAATGTTTAAGGACACGTTTTAATCACACTAGCCTGCAACAGGTGTAGGTGGTAAGTGTAGCACTGATTGAGAAACCTATTTAAGTATTACGATGTAAATGCACTGCGTGTTATGCACGTGGCAAAACTTTATGATTGATGTTGTTTATTATTTTTTTTTTAAATAATGTATCAAGTTGACCACGAATCCCCCAAAGGATAACTACTGTTGTAAGATGTCAACAAAATATATCTGACTTTGACTCATGTAATTTATCACTGTTAAATCTAATAGATAAAACATCAACCGACTTCTTAACTCTGTTTATTTTACGTTTAGTAGAGTAATACGTACTAATTCTGAGGTTTTTTTTCTTTACTTTGATTTAATTCTAGATAATTGCCTTGTCACCTCTTAATAAAGGACACCGATCTTTGACGTCGATGATATAAACAAAATTTCCAAACACTTTTTTTTAATTTCAAGTAAGCGTTTCGCAGAATTAATTAGTTCCTGTTTAATTTTTAACAGTCATATAGCAAAGAAGTGAAGGTTTCAATGTATGATTATTTTTATTTATCCTATAGAAATACAGTTTAAGTACGTTTTGGTCAGTTAGACTGTGTGTTATCCTCACCTTTTTCATCAGGGAAAGATCAGTTCAATTTGGGGCTAAGGTTGATAATTACATTAGGAATATGATTTGGAATAATTTATAAGGGATTTGGGGGGAAAATAGGGGAGTGTAAATAACGTAGTTGTAAAGTACAGTTTTGTTAAGATTTAAATACGTTTATGGTTACTTAATTATAGGTTTTGATTAGTTTTAATGATTTTTGTTAAGTTTAGGGCTAAGAATGCTAATTCATTCACAGTGCTTGTTTATGTTCGTGCATATAATTGGAAAAATGCAAATGACTGAGTGTATCATAATATATAATTAGATCTTTATATATTCTATAAATTGAAAAAATTGTTTTATATAGATTTTACCTTAAATAATTGGTTTAAAATCTCAAATCTCTGACTTTTGTAAGTGCAAAGACACTTTGCTAAACTCCATGTATTAGAAAAGAGAAGTAACTCTCATTTTTGTGAAAAAAACATTGCAAAAATAATGAAATATATAGAATTTTTCTGAAAATACATGTAAGAAACTATAGTTTTAAACTAAATTATATTTTGCGTAATCATTGTAGTGATATATTTTCTATATACATGTACGTATGCAGGAGTTAAAGCAGTACATTTCTTTCGAATAATTTCTGTGAGTTAGAAATTCAAATTTTGTTGAAATGAATTGTCACATTCCTTTCCGAAGTGAGATAAGAAATGGTTAAATAAGCTGGGATCATTTAGAAAGCTTTCATAAGAACTACGTAGCCAGAACTCTTGATAAACAATATTTCTTTTAAAATTCCTGGTTCAAATACATGTACATACGTTTGTGTGTAAATATAAGGACTAATTTAATATTTTGTGTAATACTATCATTAGTATTACTGAAAACAAAAGAATCACTAGTATATATTGTTTTGATGATGAGTTATTTTGTACGGTAAATATATACATTGTATCACAGTATAGGAAAGGAAAGTTACGACAAATTCTGATACTAATAATATTATGTTTGCATGGAAATTTTAATCGTTTAGATGAATCAGGATTTTGCTTTCGGTACAATATAAGGTCTGCTGGATGACTTGACTCTGTGAGTGATTTAAATTTATCAGTTGATCCAAGTTTGTTCAAATCTCTTAGCTTCCCCTGTATGTCTAGAAATTTCCTTTATATTTCTTCTTTCATCTCTCTCAGACTCTTGCAAGGCTTCTTTCAGAATGGTGCTGATATGATTGATAAATTCCTGAGCTTGTTTCTTCATTTTCTTTCGTATGTCCTCATGGCAGTTCTTTATTTCTCTTTTCTCCTTTCTGAAATCTTTCATTCTATGAATAATCTCAGACTTATATTGTCCCTTCATTTTAGACAATTTGTCTTCGGTTTCACATTTTTTTTTCCTCGTAAAGATTTTGTATTTTTCCGATGGTGTGTTCGTTGTGTACTTCCTGAATGCACGTAATACAGACAGGGACTTTGCAATTTTTACAACAAGCTTCGTACGTTATGGATTAGTGGACTTCACACATTTTGACCTGATTGGTCGGATGAAGTCTCTCGGATAAACGGATGATGTGTCCGGAGGGAACTTTGCTTTTATGATGGAAGACTTTACAGCGAGGGCATAGTTCATCTCCACACGGAACACAAGTGGTAGACAGCAGGTCCTCACAGTCACGTCTTGGAAGAAGAAAGTGTGACAGACGGACCGACGGACAAGGGTTACAACAATATACCTAAATTTTCTTTAGATTGATTGTTATTGTTTTACGCCGAGTCGGCAATATTTCAGGCATATTTCAGCGACGAACTTTCTTTAGAAAGTGCGGGTATAATTAACATACGTATTAAAAATCACCCGGTTGGTTCATATCTTTCTGTGATTATCACTTGCAGTTCGTTTCAAGTTATCGAACTTAACAAGAAGATATCCCCAGCTATTTTTCTGTAGTTTCTATGTGTAGTTGTTACAAGCAGAGTAGTGTAGTTTATTAAAATGTATTTAACTTACTTAGAAACCATCCCAGGCATGTTTATATTGTTCTATGGTGCCCTTGTATAGCTGACAAAAAGTTATCAAGCTATCCCAGAAACAAACCCTAAGCTATTTCCTGTGTATCTGTAGTTACCATGAGTACCTGCAGTTGACACACTCATGATACAGATACCTAATATCTAAGGTATACGTGTTTGTAGCTACATAATCCAGATTTCCAGTAACGACGATCTGATCCACATTGATTCCGTATCTAGACCGAAACTTCATAAAAATCCTTACAAACAAAGATACATAGCGGGTTCCAGTAAATGTTCTACCAAGCCTCTTCCTTTACTCCTCACTAAGATATTAACAGTAGTGAAGGGGAAACTTCAAGAGTACTGTGCAACAATATATTCGAGAAGTGGTGTAAATCAGATGTGGATACTTAAAAATTCCAAGGAACTTTTGGAAAATTTGAAATCCCAAGATTTTACCAAAATCAACAGCTTATATACTTACGACTTTTCAACTTTATACACAACCATTCCCCACGATCAATTAAAATCCCGGCTTTTTATATCATTGACAGCTGCTTTTTCAATAAAAATGGAACTCGTAAATTTACTTACCTTGGCATTGGTCATTTGCAAAATTATTTTGTTAAAAAACATTCTGATTGTACACACAAGTACTCTGAAGTTGACATTAAAAAGATGCTTGAGTTTCTGATTGACAATATCTATGTGGTTTTTGGAGACCAGGTCTACCAACAATCTATTGGAATTCCAATTGGTACTTATTGCGTCCCGTTATTAGCAGATCTTTTTGCATTCATATGAAGCGGAATTTGTCTAAAATCTTATACGTGAAAAGAGGAAAACGCTTGTTGTGGCCTTCAACTCGACATTTAGATATATCGACGACGTATTGTCAATTAACAATTGTTATTTCCATTCTTATGTCGATACGATATATCCCGGTGAACTTGAGATAAAAGATACCACAGAGTCTGACACATCTGTTCATATTTGGATATTTTACTTGAAAAAGACGTTATTGGTAATCTAACAACCAAGCTTTATGATAAACGTGATGACTTTAACTTTTCAATCGTCAACTTCCCTTACTTATGCAGCAATATACCTACATCACCCGCAAACGGGGTTTATACCTCTCAGTTGATTCGATACGCAAGAGCATGCTCTACGTATGTACAATTTCTAAAACGAGGTAAATTATTGACAAACAAGTTGATGAAACAAAAATATCAGCAGTCTCGTTTAAAGTCATCTTTTTGTAAGTTCTATGGTCGATACAATGACCTTGTCAGCAAATACAATTTATCATTGAGTCAAATGCTGACTGACGTTTTTCATACTAATTGTTAGGCCATTATTTGCACAATTGTCGACGGATTTTTCCGTTATTTCCCGATCATGACAAGGAGCACACGGCGGGTGTAACTGGTCGGCAGGGGATGTTCACTCCTCCATGGCACCTGATCCCACCTCTGATGTTTGGAGGTCTGTGTTTGCTCTGCACCTATTATGTGATGTTTAATGAACTTTTGAGCTTTTGAGCTTGAATGCTGTTCGTTATTTCCATATATTTCATTCCAAACTCAGGAATGATTGTATCAAGTACGTAATACTCCGTTTTCGTGGCGCTCACTGTGTACACTACAAAGCCCGGGGGAGCTTCTTCCCTGATGAACACCGTGATACCGGTATTGGTGGGACTGGAGAAGACGGGTTCACCGTCATTGCCGTTATCATGGCAATATTAAGGGGCAGCAAAGACTAAATGATTGATTGGTTGTATGCTGTTTAACGTCCCATTCAAGAAATATTCACTCATATAGAGACGTCATCGTATGCCGGTGAAGAGCTTCTAATTTACACCCATATTCGGCACTCAGGACCATTCAGCAGTGAGGGTTCTCTATCGTACCAACGCCTACCGTGACACGGGACCTCGTTTTTTAAGGTCTCATCCGAATGACCCATGACTTTCACTTCTAGTGCCGGGCGCTTGACGAAGAATTAGTCCTACCTATGTTAACGTCTTAGGTGTGACGCGGCGCGGCGAACGAGATTCGAACCGGGACCACAAAGAGAGCGCCCAACCACTAGGCAAAGACTGTAATTAAAGATAAACATTATGCTTGTTGGCTTGTTATTTAATGTCCCTCTCGAGAATTTTTCACGCATATGGAGACGCCACTACTTGCCGGTTAAGGGGTACAGATGTATACCTATACTCGGCACTTAGGACCATTGAGCAGTGAGAACACTGCAAAAACTTATGTACCAGTTCTCTTTCCTGTGTAAATTACAATCATTAAAAATACAGATCTTTATTTTGTTTTGAGTACAGAAATCAGATGCGAAGGGAAACAAACAATGACTCTAATTTCTCTAAATTGTATATGCAAACGAATG